CATGGCAATCGACACATCTGACTTCCCCTGGCATGCTCATTCATTTGGGGCCATGTTTCTCAGCACTAGCATTAGAACCAGTTTAATGAATGTCTGGATGAATGACACTGCTATAATATATAACGGAATATTTAAAATCTAATAACATTTATGTTAAAATAGTAACACACTAGTCATCAAAATCACTCACAGAGTCCCGCCGGCGTGGCTCAGTGGATCGAGCGTCCTCCCATGGACTGAGAGGTCCCCGTTCAATTCCCAGTCAGGGCACATGCCTGGGTTTCAGGTTCGATCCCCAATGGGGGGCAGCCGATCAATGTTTCTCTCTCACATCATATTTTAAAAAATCACGGAAATTCTGGTGCCAAATTGCTTGTTAATGCCATGTGATTGACAAATGTTGGTAACTATTTCTGTTTAGCAGCCAATGTTAAGCCACCAAGTGTCAACAGCATCAACAGCACTCCAGTCACAACCTTGCGCTTTCGTTCTCTAGACCCGCCCTGTCCACTACATTAGCCACTCACCACGTGGCAATTTATTTATTTAATCCTCACCCAGGACATTTTTCTGTTTATCTTCAGATAGAATGGAGGGAGGGCAAGAGAGGACGAGGGAGGGCAAGAGAGGACGAGAGAGGGCAAGAGAGGATGAGAAAGGGCAAGAGATTGACGTGAGAGGGCAAGAGATTGACGTGAGAGGACAAGAGATTGACGTGAGAGGAACGCATCCACCGGTTGCCTCCGGCACCACCTGGACCAGGGCCCAGCCCCTGAGGTACGTGCCCCTTGACCGGAATCCAACCCTCAGTCCTTGGTCCTCCCGCCCATGCTCTAACCTCGGGGCCAAACTGGCCAGGGCACTTGCGGCGATTTAACTGGAATGAGATGTGCTGTAAGTCTTAGTATATATAGGTCTCAATAATTGTTAATATTGATTACATGTTAAAATGATAATATTTTAGTATAAGTTAAAATTAACTTCACCTGTTTCTTTTTACCGTTTTTGTTTTTTTTTACTTGAAAAACAAAAATGACATACGTAGCTCATATGCGTCACTCACATTTTATTTCTATCGGACAGCATTGCTCTCTAGATGTTATCTCCAATGTTTGGGACACGATACCTGCTCACGAGCTGGCTTCATGGGTGTGTGCCCAGGACAGTCTCACAGGGTCCCATCTTCAGAAGAGCCTCGCATTTTAATGCTCTGCTGTCATTGCCTTGACATTTAAAATTTTATCTTTGAATTTGAGTTTTAGAGATGAAGTCTCATAGTACTCTAGAGCATACACCAGGGGCTTGGCTAAGGCGCTGTCCTGCCTCCTAGAGATGGCTCCCTAGCCTCCGATGTCCCTGTCCCTGCCCTGCGACTGCTACTACCTTCTGTCCCCGACAGGGGGCTGGGCGCGGTCAAGGGGAGGGTCAATGTGGGCTCTGGTGGTGGCCAACCCTGACCCCGGCTGGTAGAGCAGGGTCTCTCGCCCACCCAGATCCAGGTCCAGAGCGTGACTGGCACACTGAACTGGCAATATGGTCAGGGATCGCCGGTCTGTCCTGGTTTGGGCGGCGGACTTGGGCAGGAGGGACACCTGGCCTGACTTCTCTAGACCGAGCCCGCCAAAGCACGTCACCGTGGGCCGGTGGCGCCCAAAACCCAGCAGTGTGCACGCCTGAGCTCGCTCGCTCGCGCACCTCACGTGGAGAGATCCCCACCCGGGAGGTGTGCGTGAGGTGTGCCAGAAGGGGCTCCACTCGCTCTGAGACTGCGCGCAGGGGTGTGCGCCCTAGTCTGGCTGCAAGCTTGGGGCAGGGGTATGGGGGTCTTCTCTTCCTCTTTCCAACCTTCGTCAGTCTTTCTTGTGTTTGTCTTTTCCGGACTTTTCAAGGCACCTTCTGGGGACAAGCCATAGCACACAAAAGGTGTAATTTTGATAATTCCACATGTAAGTTAAATACTATGATATTTATATTTAAAACTTGGATTGCACAATATAAAGATGAATGATTAAATTCATGCTAGCCCTGCCTTGGTAGCTCAGTTGGTCGGCAGGTCCTCCTGATCCACCAAGGTTGTGGTTGGATCCTGGTCAGGGCACATACAAGAATCAACCAATAAATGCACAAATAAGTGGAACAACGAATCAGTGTCTCTCTCTCTTGCTCTCACTCTTCCTCTTTCTTTCTAAAATAAAAAAATGAATACAATTTAAAAAAATCATGCTAATAATTTAAAATTTTTAATTTTTCTTTATTTAGACATTAAGTAGCAAATAGAAATCAAGAGAAATCGCTGGAAGAAAGGAAAAAGCTTTTTCCTGCTTTTTGAACAAGGGGCCCTGTATTTTTATTTTGCACTGGGTCCACAGTGCAAAATAATCTTCCATAATCTAAATTTCAAGCATCCCAGGCTCTGACCACTCCTCCGGCACCCCAAGCCCAACAACTGATTCCAGTGGGACCTACAACTGATTGATCTTACCACCTTTGCCCTGTCCTTTGCTCCCTCCCTTTCTGCTTCCCTCCTTACCCAGCTTTAATGTCATTGCTCACTGTTACAGTCACTCCTGTGAATATACCCTGAACTCCCATGTCTCCCTTTATAATTCTCATCTGATAAAAGTAAATTCCAACAAGACCCACCTCCCTGCCCTACGTGACCTCTCATTCTTCTCTAGGCAGCCCTGGGTTCCCCAGGGTGCCAGCCCCTTTTGTGTCTCTGTTTTAGTCGTATTTGCTGAGGCGCTATTGGCCAGAGCAAGTCACATGGCCAAGCCCAGACTCAAAGGGTGGAGAAACAGACCCTGCCTCTTGATGGGAGAAGCCGCCCTCACTTTACAAAAGGTCTCTTGTTCAGGTATGGAAAAAACATTGTGGCCATTTTCCCCCCAATTTGCCACAAACCTTAAAAGGAAGGAAAGTGGATGGATCTTAATTTTTTTCACTTTCCAGGAGACATCTTAGTTTCTGCAAATCTGACTAAGATTTTCTCAGCAACCTGGGTTATTAGGAAATTGGAAGAAAAGAGGCAACTTTGTCAAGTCATTAAATTCTCCAGAATGATGATGATCTGATCACCATACATAACTGAAAGGGACTACTTTAAAAACAAGCACTAAATATCTATTGAGTACAATGTTTTACATGGATTAAAATACTTGTTTCCCATAACAACATTATGAGGTAGATGGTATACATCCCATTCAATAGATGAGGAAGTAGAGTCACAAAATAGGTAAAATATTTGTATAAAGTCACACAGCTACGAAGTGGCAGAATTCAGATTTGAACCCAGGTCCATTTAAAGCCAGAGCCTGGAACCTATTTCTATGCTGTCTCCTAAAGTAAGTGGTTCTTTCTAACATAAGGAAGACTTGCTTCAGGTGACCTAAGTGTGGCCGATAACTACTGTTTTACAAGAAATTTGCATTCTATAACTTTATTACATATCGACTACATAGGCATTTAACAAAAAACTATAAACTTAATTTTATGTATTAAACTCCATTAAGTCAGAAAGAAATGCTATGTAATATAATAGCATAGTAGTGTTAAACCCTGGATTAGTTTGTAAAGGACATACATTTGTATACCACCACTTAATTTACTTTTTAATATTCAAAGAAAGTTTATACTAAACTGTATTTTTTTGGATGGATAGGACATGCACATAGTATACAATTAAAAAGGTACATGATGGTGGAGAAGAGTTTGGTGGTTTTCCTCAATAAGTTAAACATAGAATTACCATTTGACCCACCAATTCTACTGCTAGGTGTATACCCAAAATAATTTAAAAAAGGTGTTCAAACAAAAACTTGTACATGAATGTTCATAGCAGCTTTATTTGCAGTAGCCAAACAGATGAATGGATAAGCAATTGTGTGCAATTCCACATAATGGAATATTATTTTAATTATAAAAAGTAATGAAGCACTGCCCTGGCCTATTTGGCTCAGTGGTCGGAGCGTTGGCCGGTGGCCAATTCTCACTCAAGGGCATGTACCTGTGTTTTGGGTTCAATCCCCAGCCCATGCTGGGGTCCTGCAGGAGGCAGCCAATCAATATGTTTCTCTCACATCAATGTTTCTCTCTCTTTCTCCCCCACTCCCTTCCATTCTATCTAAAAATCAATGGAAAAATGTCCTTAGGTGAAGATTAACAAAAACAAACAAACAAAAAATAATGAAGTACTGCCCTTACTGGGTGGCCTAGTTGGTTGGAGCATTGCCCCATACACCAAAAGGTTGCAAGTTCAATTCCTAGTCAGGGTGCATACCTAGGTTGCATGTTCAAGGCAACTGATCAATGTTTCTCTCTCACATCAATGTCTCTGTCTCTCTCTCTAAAATCAATAAAAATATATGCTTGGGTGAGAATTAAAGAAAAAGTAATAAACTATTGCTACCTAGTATAACATCGATGAATCTTGAAAACGTTATGCTAAATGAAAGAAGCTGGTCACGAGGTACTATATATCATATGTTTTCATTTACATAAAATATTCAGAATAGACAAATCCATGGGATAGAGAGCAGGTTGGTGGTCTCCAGTGGCTAGGGGGCACGGGGAGCTGGGGAGTGACTGCTTAAAGGTTTGGGGTTTTCATCTAGGGAAATGAAGAAGTTCTGGAACTAGGCAGTGGTGAGGTTGCACAACACTGAATGTACTTAACACCACTGAATCGTACACTTTAAAATCATTACAATGTCAAATTTAATGTTATATGTATTTTACCACAAGGAATCCCCAAAAGGTTATACAAAAATATACAGTGAAAAGTAAATCTCAGAGGGAGGGGCCGCTGCCTCTCCCCAGAGCCCTGGGAAGGAGCAAGATGACCACTGTCTTGTGTGGCCGCAACTCAGCAAAAGCTCTGAGCCCCCTCCAAATCCTGAGTGTCCCCACACAGTTCCACTCTAGTCTGCCCTCCCTCTGCCGGAGCCCAAGGAAACTACTAAACGTCCTGTGGAAGCGAAGTAGAATTTCATAAGAACTTAATGGATGGAGAAGAGAAAACCTATGGTGGCCGTGAAGGCCCTGATGCCATGTATGTCAAATTGATATCTTCAGATGGTCATGAATTTATTGTAAAAAGAGAACATGCACTGACATCAGGAACAATAAAAGCCATGTTGAGTGGCCCAGGTCAGTTTGCTGAGAACGAAACTAATGAAGTCAATTTTAGAGAGATCTCTTCACATGTGCTATCAAAAGTATGCATGGCCCTGGCCGGTTTGGCTCAGTGGTTAGAGTGTCGGCCTGCGGTCCAGAGAGACCCGGGTTCGGTTCCCGCTAAGGGTGCGTACTTCGGTTGCAGTTTGTCCCCGGCCCTGGTCGGTTGTGTGGGTGGCAGCCACTCAATGTGTTCCTTTCACATCGATGTTTCTCTCTCTCTCTCTCTCTGTTCCTCTCTCTCCCTCCCACTCTACCTGAACAAAAAATGGAAAAATGTCCTTGGGTGAGGATAAAAAAAAAAAGTATGCATGTATTTTACTTACAAGGTTCGCTACACTAACAGCTCCACGGAGATTCCTGAATTCCCAATTGCACCTGAAATTCCACTGGAACTGCTGATGGCTGCGAACTTCCTAGATTGTTAACTAAAATAAATTATAATAATAATAAAAAAAGTAAATCTCCCTCACATCTGCTTTCCGACACCCAGTTTACCTCCCCAGAAGCAACTACTGTTTTCAGCTTTTCTATCTGTACAGACAAATTCTGTGCATCTACAAGCAAATATATTTGTATTTAGTTTAATACCCTAAATCAGGGATTACAAAACTATGACCCATGAACCAAATCTATCCCAACACCTATTTTTCTATAGCCTGCAAATTTCAACTTTTAATTGTGCTAAAATATACATAACATAAAATTTACCACCTTAACCTCAGTAACATTAAGTGTATCCATGTTGTTGTGCAACCAATGCCCAGAACTTTTTCATTTACAAAACAAAAAACTATACCCACTAAACACCAACTCCCCATTTCTTCCTCTCCCCACCCCCGGGTAACCACCATTCTACCATTTGTTTCTGTGAGTTTGGCTGATACCATACAGTATTTATCTTTTCATGACTGGTGATTTCACTTAGCATAATGTTCTCAAGGTTCATCCATGTTGTAGAATGTGACAGAATTTCTTTCCTTGTTAAGATTGAGTCATGTTCCATTGTATGTGTATACCACATTTTGCTTATCTGTTCATCCATCAATGGACACTTTGGCTGCTTCCACCTTTTGGCTATTGTGAAGAATGCTGCTACGAACATGGGTGTGCAAATATCTCTGTCCAATTTTTTCTAAAATAAAAAGACCTGCAATTAATATTTTTGTACATGTATTACTTTGTACATGTCTGACTGTAATTGTAGGATAAATTTCTAAAAATAAAATTGTTGGGTTAAAAAAATGTGCATTTTATAATTTGTTTTATATTGCCAAATTGTGATTCATAGAGGCTTGGCCATTTTATACAGTTTCACCAACACTGTATGCTTTCAAACTTTTTTATCTTTGACAATATGATAGATTAAAAATGGCATTCCCACCAATAAGAATGAATGGAAACGTGAAATTTGTTTAAATTCACAAGTTTGAATTGATACAATAAAAACCCTCCAAAATCTTCAATGTTTGCTTCTGGAGGATGCTAAGGAAACAATTCACTATTTGGAAAACAAATTGGAAAACAAAAGAAAAGAATCAATTATGACCTGCCTTTTGTATTTTAGCTATTTCTCAGGATAGCCAAATAGTTGATGAGAAGGAGCTTCTCTCTTTTTTTTAGTTTTTATCCTCACCATAGGACATTTTTGCCTTTATCTTCAGACAGAGTAGGAGGGAGGGAGGGAGGAAGAGAGAGAGAGAAACATTGGTGCGAGAGACACAGTGAGTGGTTGCCACACACATGACCCTAACTGGGGCCAGGGACAAACTGCAACTGAGGTACATGCCCTTAGCGGGAACTGAACCCAGGACTCTGGTCTGCAGGTCAACGCTCTATCTAACTCTAAGCCAAACTGGCCAGGGCAGGAGCTTCTCTTTATAAAACTATTCTTGTTATTAAATAAAGAAGGAATTATGCAACCACTGAGGAAATCATGGGTGTTGGCTATGATCATTAATGGTTGCAAAAGACAGACAGAGACAAAGTGGAAAAGATTAACTAGACATCCTATGTCTCCTGATAAGAGACCACTGCACCACATCTGAACTGTTCTCTCCTAAATAGGCACACCCAGATCTAACTGCAAACTATCAAGTTACAAAAAATGTAGGAATGAAAAAGACATGTTAAACAACATCTCAAGAGGATGCAATCAGCTAAGTCCAGACTATAGGGCACTACAGGACAAGTGAACCAATTTCTTCAATAATATCTTAAAAGAAAAAAGTAGGCTCTGACCAGGTGGCTCAGTTGGTTACAGTCATCCCCATATGCCATTCCTGGTCAGGGCACATGCAAGTATCAACCACTGAATGCATAAATAAGTGGAACAACAAATTGATGTCTCTCTCTCTCTCAAAAACCAGTAAATAATAAATTAAAAAGAAAAAACTAAAAATGGAGGAGGGACAGTGAATATCTATAATAAATTTAGGGTATACAGCAACCAAACGCAATATATGGGCCTTATTTAAATCTTGATTCAAACAAAAAAAATGTGCTATTTTTATGAGACAGTTGGGAATTTGACCTCTGGATATTTAACAATATGAAGGAGTTATTGTTAATTTTTAAAGATATTATGCTAATATGATATTTATAATATATTTTAGATACGGTGGTATTATTTTTTAGACTTATAGTATTATGGTTAGGTTAAAAATCTTATCTTTAAAGATATTATGAAAATAATCATTGGCAAAATGATACAGTGTCTGAGATTTACTTCTAAAGAATACAATGGGAGTGTGCGTGGGATGGGCTTTGGATGAACCAAGATAGATTATGAGTTTATCAGTGATGCATACTCTGCAGTTCTCTCTCCTTTTATGTTTTATTAATTTATTTATTTTTATCTTTATTGTTGAATGTATTACAGATGTTCCTCATTTTCCCCCCATTGTCCCCCTCCTCCCTACTCCCGCCCCCCTCCTGCCTTTCCCCACATTGTTGTCTGTGTCCATTGGTTATGCATATATGCAAATAAGTTCTTTGGTTTATTTCTTCCCACCCTCTAACCCCCCTTCCCTTTGAGGTTTGTCAGTCTAGCAACCAATTTGTACTTCTTAATCCCTTCACCTTTTTCACCCATTCCCCCAACCCCCCTCCCATCTGGCAACCAACAAAATGTTCTCTATATCTATGATAATGTTTCTGTTCTGCTTGTTCATTTTATTTGTAGATTCAATTGTCGATAGATATGTATTCATTGCCATTTTGTTTGTTCATATTTTTAATCTTTTTCTTCAAGAAGACCCTTCAACATTTCATATAATAATGGTTTGGTGGTGATGAACTCCTTTAGCTTTTCCTTGTCTGGGAAAGTCTTTATATGGTCATTGATTCTAAATGAAAGCTTTGCAGGATAGAGTAATCTTGGTTGTAGGTTCTTGCTTTTCATCACTCTGAATATTTCTTGCCACTCCCTTCTGGCCTGCAAAGTTTCTTTTTGAGAAATCAGCTGACAGTCTTATGAGAACTCCCTTGTAGGTAACTAACTGCTTTTCTCTTGCTGCTTTTAAGATTCTTTGTCTTGAACCTTTTGCATTTTGATGATGATGTGTCTTGGTGTGGGCCTCTTGGGGTTCATCTTGTTTGGGACTCTGTGTGCTTCCTGGACTTGTATGTCTGTTTCCTTCACCAAGTTAGGGAAGTTTTCTGCCATTATTGTTTCAAATAGGTTTTCTATATCTTGTTCTCTCTCTTCTCCTTCTGGCACCCCCCAAGATGCGAATGTTGACATGCTTGAAGTTGTCCCAGAGGCTTCTTACACTATCCTCATTTTTTTGGATTCCTTTTTCTTTTTGCTGTTCTGATTGGGTGTTTTTTGCTTCCTTATATTCCAAATGGATGGTTTGCTTCTTGGCTTTACCTACTCTACTTTGAATCTGTGTAAATTATTCTTTATTTCAGTTAGTGCCTCCTTCATTTCTGACTGTGCCTCCTTCATTTCTGACTGTGCATCCTTCATTTCTGACTGGTCTTTTTTTATGCTCTTGAGGCCCTCACTAAGTTCGCTAAGGTTCTCACTAAGTTCATTGAGCATCCTTATAAGCGGTATTTTGAACTTAGCATCTGTTAGGTTGCTTATCTCCATTTCGCTTAATTCTTTTCCTGGGGTTTTCTTCTGTTCATTCGTTTGGGACCTGTTTCTTTGTCTCCTCATTTTGGCTGCCTCCCTGTGTTTGTTTCTATGTATTACTTAATGAGAGGTATGGGGCTATCAGAGACCAGATGCTGCTCATTTGAAAGAATTTAGGAAAACCTAAAGCAGGATCCAAGACAGGCCAATCCTATGGTTAAGCAACTGGCAACAGCTTGGGTGGGTCTGAAAGTTGGGTGGGGCAGGGCCTCAGGGCATCACGGGGGGGGGGGGGGGCGTGCTACCAGTTTGAGCCAGGTTGCTGGAGTCCCAGATATGGTGACTGTCTGCCGCCCCCGGGAAGGGCTCACCAAAGGAACAAAGGCCTCTGACAGCACGTCTGTCCAAGAAAAAGCCCCTCTCCAGCCCTCGCTCCAGTGCCAAACAGTTCAATTCTCCCCAGTGTGTCTCTGGCGCCCCTCGAGCTGCCTCCCTGCCAAGCTTAGAGGGAGAGAGTCCGATAAGTCCGTGCGCGGGCCCTTTAAGAGGAGCTGCCTGGGGCTCCAGCCAGGTCAGCTTCCCTGAGCCTCAGTTCCCGCTGGTTTTTCCAGCCAGAAGTTATGGGGATTCTCTTCCTGGCACTGGAACCCTGAGCAGGGTGCCTGGTGTGAGACGGGGACTCTTCAGTCCTCAGGGAGGACCTTCCCAGCCGAGGTGTCCTCCTGATTTTTATCCGCCACACGTGGGTGTGGGACCAGCTGATCTGTGCCTCCGCCCCTCCTACCAGTCTGGATGTGGCTGCTGCTTTAATTCCGTAGTTGTACGACTTCCTTTCAGCTTGATCTCAGGCGGTTTTGAATGGTGGTTGTTCTGTAGTTTAGTTGTAACTTTGATGTGGTTGTGGGAGGACGCGATACCGCATTTACCTATGCCGCCATCTTGACCGGAAGTTCTTCCTTTTATGTTTTAAAATTTCCAAATAAAAAAGTTCATTTCAGCCAGCTGGTGTGGCTCAGTGGTTGAGCGCTGACCCATGTACCAAGAGGTCACCGGTTCGATTCCCAATTAGGGCACGTGCCCAGGTTGTGGGCCAGATCCCCAGTGGGGGGCATGCAGGAGGCGGCCAATAGATGTTCTCTCTCATCGATGTTTCTCTCTCTCTCTTTCCCTTCCTCTCTCTCTAAAATCAATAAAGAAAAATTAAAAAACAAAAACAAAAAACGTTCGTTTCAAAAAAAGAGACTGAAATGAATGCAGTTAGAAACAGTGAGTACAGATAGCTCTTTTTAGGAATTTTGATGTAAAATAAGGAAAAAGGAAACAGGATCAGTAGCTATGAGGGTT